CAATTACAATAAAAAAAAGTGTACCCCAGACAGTTGTTTATGCACATCAATTTCACGCAGCTCACTTCAGGATTAACCTGCAGAAGCCAAACATTTGCTCAAATAACACTTTCTACACATCTAAAACCAACAAACAGCAAATTATTATTGAATTCTAGGTACTTAACAACACTTGCATTTGACTTACAAATTGTTTATGGACACTTTCATAACACTGATGCAGGTAGGCAGCATCTCGAATATATCGCTCTAGCCATAAAATGCCGAAACCACAAGCCTACTGCACCTCTATCTCTATCGATGGGAGGTAGAAATTGTGTACTTCCTGTCGTCAAACGCTCCAAGCACATGCATACGAGAGGACCACAATCCCCTCTGGTTTCCGGCGTTTGTTGTGCCGCGGTCTCATCTCTGATAATTGTAACATTGAACTTCTTTGGCTTCTTGTTTCCAGAATAAGTCCAATAATTAATCGCATCCAATAATTTATCCAAATGAGAGCTCTATCCCTTAATAATATCTCTCAAATCAGACAATGATATGTAATTTATCATGCTGTCATATACTATTGTCTTCAGGGATGGGAGCTGAAGCTCGACGAGAAGCCAATGAGTACGTTCCAAAACAGGGATAAACACCTGCAATCATAAGTAATAATTCAAATTGCGCACTTATTTATGAACACTTTTAAAATATTTAAAAAAAAATAAATACTAACCTTATCGACCTCCCACCATGCAGGATAAAGTTTAGCTTGTCCATTAGCCAACACATATGATTCTTGTCGTTGATTCTTTAAGTGAACTACGTGAAAAGACGTCGGCATAATTGTATATCAAGTATTTTTTTTCTTCAAAGCCTTTACTATTAGAAGACGTGACACCCATGCATCAATATGTTGTTTTACAAAAAAAGACATATATTAGTGAATTACATAAATTTAAAAAAAATTAATCAAATTGAAATATAAGAAGAAATATAAGACTTACCCCCCATCGAAATAGCCATTGTCTTCAACCCCTAACAACACACCCCACCAAGACCGTTCAATCAACAAATGCATATCATCGTTGAGTTTGTATATGTCAGCGTAATACCCTTGGCTCCGCTCATGTAGATAAAAATCAACTGCGGTCTTAGCCCAAAGGGTATTATCCAGAATTTTTTTTGGTAGTTGTTTCCTCTCCACTTCATCTGCCGGAATGGTACTGGTCTGAAACTTATACGAAAGCCAACAGTCATCCATCATGTCCGGCACGTGAGGGGGTTTCTCAATAATTCGATATATTATGCCGTGTGAATCGAGCTCTAGAATATTGGGAGGGACCTCTTCAACGATGACAGTGGCCTCTTGAATGGTGGAGGGGACTCTTGAGGGATGATAGGGGCCTCTTGAACGATAGGGGAGGCCTCTTGAACGATGACAGGTGAGTCGGGCTTTTTCTTACGGATTCTTCGCACTATTGGGGTGAACGGAGACTTAATGGCACGTGCACGCCATCTGATGCGTGAACTCCGTCTTGCAAGAAAAACCCGACGTAGAGCATCCACCTTAGTGGGCCGCTAAAAATAAATTAATACATAAATCAGTAAATAAACAGACATGATATTAAACAGTGAAAACAAAGACAAATATATTTCAAACTTGCACGGTATTCACCCAAGTCATTATTCTATCATTGTTCACAAAATGCATCAGATAACATTCCAGAAGTAATCACTTATATAAACATTTAAAAGGACAACATATAGGTTTAGTGCAGGTTCAATGACAACATAAAGAGTAGTAGTTTATTCTTGAAACTTAAATTTTCAACACTGTGAAGTTAGTATTTGTCTTTGTCTTTTGGTTGAAGTAATGCAATTCATTCAAGTTTCAATTTGCAGAAGAATAATAGAATCTAAAACTTAAAATAGCAACACGAATGACTATCGCAACGCGAAAATGACTATCGCAACGAGAGAATCGCAATGCGATTTTCATTTCGCATTGCGATTCTTTCGTTGCGATAGTCAAATTCGCATTGCGATAGTTATTTCCGCGTTGCGATAGTCATTTCTGCGTTGCGAAAGTAAACTATTCTTCTTCTGCGAATTGAAACTTGAATGGATTGCATTACTTCAACCAAAAGATAACCAAAAACAAATACTAACATCACAGGGTTAAAGAATAAACAGTTTAGCAGTATTGGCAGCAACCGAATGAATTTACTAAGCAATCTAAGTGAAATGGTTAATCTAAGTGAAATTACGAGTAAATTTATCATCAAGTTAAATATGAAAAATATTAAACTTACCTCGTTGCGTAGAGTATGAACCTCATTCTGCAACGATGCTACCATCTCACGTAGAGCGGCTACCTCACCACGTAAAGTAGACACCTCAACACGCCATGCACCATTGTCATCACGTAAAGTACCGACCTCCTCACGCAAGGCATTGACCTCATCACGTAACTCCCCTAACTCATCCCGTGGAGGTGGAGGTGGAGAACAGGGAGATAAACGTCGTGGCATCTTTGTCGGTCGCCTATCATGAGATGATGGTGGAGAAGAGGCTCGATGATGTGACAGAATAGGAGATGGCTCTCGTTGTGGAGGTGTATAGTCGGGTCGATCAGGTGATGGCTCTGGGTGAGGTGATGGCTCTCGAAGTGGAGGATGCTCATCATCCGTGCCATCAAAAAAACGCTTACTAGCTTTCCATCAATCAGTGGCAAGCTCAGCTTCCGTGGGTGTCAGCCTCTGTAATGGAGTGTTGGACTCCTAACAATATAAAAGCTCAAACAAAGTTAAACGTGTACTAGTAATAACTTGTTTATAAACATATGGTAGTATTTGTGTTAACTTACATTATTTATTGTCGTATACGATAGTAAATCTTCCCATTGCTGTAAGGTCTGTTTCCTCTTCCAGGAAATAGCCCTAGGAATATCATTAGCAGTTTTTAATGCATATGTTTGCATGGTGGGAAAGGCCTCAAATATCCAAATCTACAAACAATATAATAACAAACATTAGTAATTGTTAAATAATAATTAATTATAATTTTGGAAACATTATATAAAAATTCTTACCTTAAAGGCCTAAATAAAGCCTGACAAAGTGTATTTGGAACCATCGCCACGCAAACTTTTTCGATCATCAAAGGCAGACGACAACTTATTCCATGTAGCTTTCCATAGATACGAACCCCACGGAAACAGGTTCCATGCATTTAGGTCCTCTACCAATTTAATTAGATCATTAGGAATAGGTTGTCTGGCCTCTCTGCCTAAAAAGCCGGCATGCAAAAGTATTAGAAGGCATAATCGGACAACATCGACGTCATCCATCAGAGTAAAACCATCTTTCTTATTCAATAATCTCGTCAAGTCTTCCACGTGTAAATTCAGCTTCTCCATTGACAGCTCAGGAAAAACCCGGGATAACCATGATAGGCGGGTAATATGTCTAGTGTACCGACCTACATCATCGTGTCCGAAGCGTATACCGGTGATTAAGCAAAACTCCTCCCGCCCAAAACACGTATACGCCGGTAGAAAATAAACCATATCTCTTCATCACGACGTTGTATAGTCTCTGGTAGATCGCTAGTCATGGTTTGAAGAAACAGATGGGTCAACATAGCATCTCCACCCGGATGTTGTACTTTCAGCCATGGCCCGAAGCAAGTATCCTCAAATATTTTTCTTTGTGCAGGTGAAAGCTTCGACGCAATTGTTTTGGCCAGGCTTAATTTATTTCTTAAGGTCAATAGAGCCGAATAAAAGTTCTACAAAAACAATAAATATACCAAGTTAGATATACCAAAAACTACACTGTGAAGATATACCAAGAACAATAAACATAAAGAGTAATAGTTTATTCTTCAAACTTAAATTTGCAACACTGTGAATTTAGTATTTGTCTTTGTTTTTTTGTTGAAGTAATGCAATTCATTCAAGTTTCAATTTGCAGAAGAAGAATAGTTTCTGAAACTTAAAATCGCAACACGAAAATGAAAATCGCAATACGAAAATGACTATCGCAACGCGAAACTAAAATCGCATTGCGATTCTGTCGTTACGATTTTCATTTCGCGTTGCAATTCTCGGTTTCAAATACTAAAATTGAAACTTGAATGGATTGCATTACTTCAACCAAAATACAAAACAAAGACAAATACTAAATTCACAGGGTTTAAAGACTAAACAGTTTAGTAGTATTGGCAGCAATCGAATGAATTTAATAAGCAATCTAAATGAAATGGTTAATCTATTATTGAAATTACCAGTAAACTTATCATCAATTTCAATATGAAAAACCTAATAATAATGCAAAATTTTCAAAATAAAAATAATTAAAAAAACTAACCATCGGTGGTTGATTTGGTTGATTTTCCATTTCTGACCGTGAATGATTGCGAGGGTGGCTCTGAGAGATGGAGATAGATGGATTTCGCCGGAGATGGGGACTAATTTCGTCGGAGATGGGGACGGATGTCGCCTTAGAGAGTGAGAGATGGAGATGTGACTGAGTTGTGATTTAGGGTTTTAGGTTATGAGTTGCGATTACATGATATACTGTGGACGGTTCAGTGTTCCGATATATTAATATTCGTGTTTGGAATTTGAAAAATAATACGCGTTGCGATAGTCATAATCGCATTGCGATTTACATATTCGCGTTGCGATAGTCATACTCGCATTGCGATTTACATATTCGCATTGCGATAGTCTGAAAATCGCAACGCGAATTTGGAAAATCGCAATGCGATAGTCAGAATCGCGTTGCGAATCTGAAAACTGATTTGCGATACCGAAAATCGCGTTGCGAATTATCGATCGCATTGCGATTTAGTTGGTCATTTTGGCATATCCAAAAAAAGTTGGTTAAAATCGTATATTATAAGGCATTTTTGGTCACTGAGATTATTTTCTCTTGAAATTATTCCCCAAAAAAAAGAAGCCATTTATGCAATGGCAAAATTAATACGTGGATGAGGACTATATAATTTTTTTTTTCTAATTCTGATGGCATGCTTGCCTCTTTGCATTCGATCACTGGAATGCCTTACGGGTTTATTGTCCTTGATAACAACATACAGTGGGCCGAGAGATTCGAGATAGATTCTCCGATGCCGTTGAAGCATTTTCCAGAAGAAATATTTCAAGTACTAGTCCTCATCTTGATCATTCTAGACGCAAGACTGTTGATGATGTGGCTTTGTCGAAGCATGCGGTGAGCTTGAATTTACATCAAATAATTTTCTTTTATATACACTTTTCTGTATGAGAATCTCTCCAAAAGCGAAATCATACTAATCAAAAAGGTTTATTAGCTAGCTACCAATGCCATTTTTAGATTTTGAACAATCTTACCGTTGGTTTGCACTTTCAGCTCCCTGTGTTGGATAAAAGACAGTTCTTCTCGATATGGTAGCACTTCAAGAAGAGCTGTAGTAGCAAGCAGGCCCAGTTCGTCCGTTGAAGCCAATGACGTACTACAAAACCGGCTAGCATCGAGTAGCGGCCGCATGTCTACCACACAAAGAATCCAACATGCATTTGAATCCAAAACATATAGTCGTGCCACCCCTGTTCGAGGAAGCCGTGATCATCCTCTTCTAAGTTTTGAGCTCCATTCCATTAGAAAATAATGGGGTCGTATGTCAAATCTTCAGCCAATGTTTTCTAAAGAACTCTGTCACTGTAAACGGGATATTTCACCAGATTCACTGCCTCTACAGCTCATTTACTTCCCTTACCCCCTTTGCCAATCTTCTTTTACCCCATTCTCAATACAAAAGTCATTCAGGTTTGGGATTGGTTAATTACATTGAAACAATTGTAAGTGATATGATTTCCTAAAACACCTAATTTTCAATCTCAATTCGACCAAACATTTGCAGAATTTATTTGCACATGGCACCAAATGGATAGAATAGTATCCATAGCATTACACTGCATTAACCCAGAAAGCATGAATGATCAGTCATATCTACAAAAATAGTGCATAGGTATTAATACTAGAGATAACTTGGTATTCGTGAAGGAAAAGTTGAGGTTCTGTTTGTGTCTTTAGCTCATGGATTTCTAAGAGCTGCCAGCCGCTTCTCGAGCTCATCAACACCCGAACTGCAAGGAGGAATAAAATATTTAGCAAACAAAGAAATAATTCAATCTCATTCAGTTTTAGGTAACGAATTGAAACATTTCTCCTTAGTGTCTATTACTTGAGTGAAAAAAAGTTGGGTAATAACAAGTCAAGTATTGTTGTTATAAGGATGAAAACGATAGCCAGGGACATCTAATAGAGCCCATAATGAAGTACAGTACAGACTACAGTGCATTAAGTTCAAATCTAAGTTGAGGAGCTGCATAATATACACGGGTCTCTTACAACTGCAAAATTCAAACGAACTGAGAAGAACTTGGGAGACAATAGAAAAATACCTGCCAACGCCCTCAGAATTCTTTCCCGCAATCCTTCCTTTAGGAGCTGATGACAACTGCAAGAAATTTGTGTGGGAATCAGACGGTTGCACAAAATATGTATTGGCTCACTTGAAACCTTTACAAGAAGGGGGGAAACCAAAAAATACCAACCTGTGAGGCAACATCAATACCAATTTCGTCTAAAACCTGAAATTAAGAAAATTTTGAGGTTATTGTCATATCTTTGTTTAGGGAGGTAAACGAGTCAAACAATTTGACTTCACTCATTTTCACGCCCAAGAAAGCTTGTGCAAGCACACAGGATATCCCTTTCCTGACCGTCATGTTCCAATCCCTAAACCCAAGCAGCTTTGATTTTTGAAAAAAATGGGAAAGAACCACACCTGATTTGTTAGGTCCTCACTCTCATCTTCTGCCTCGTCATCGTCCAGAGCATCATCTATGGCATCTGACATCATTTCAGTCTGCAAGCACAAAACTAAACTGTTAAATCCATGAACATGAACTAAAGGAATGAATAATGAACTTTTCCCACATAGTATATTCTCAAAAAAAAAAAGGCATGATCTTACAGTCATATCCATCTGAGCAGACTGCTTCTGAAATTCCCGCATAACCTTTGCTTGCCTTTCCGGAGCCATTTGCTGCAAGGAAACTCAGTCATCAGTGGTTTAAAAATCAATGATTACTTTAAAAGGGGAGAATGATTGTAATATGTGAATTCATAAAGATGATTATAATATGCAAACATGTATGTATACACAAACAGGTAGCTGTGCATGAATAGATATCAACCAACAGTTTATGCTATAGGAAGCAAGTTCCCCTCTGAAGGAAAAGAACAATTTGGTAAACTAGTTACTGAGGATAAAGATGTATAAAATCCATCTCATCATACATGTAATACAACACATATATATGTTGTAACCGACCTTATTCATAGCCGACATTGCCTTGGTGGCACCTTTCATGCCAACAGCAACTGAAGATTGAGCATGCATTGCCTGAAAAAACAAACAAGCGTTGTTAGCGGCACCATGCAACAGAAGAAGGAAACAAAAGGCATGAGCGACATGAACCTGCGTATGAGTTGCAATGCCTCTCATTTGAGCTCGACTACTTTGTAACTTAGCTATCTGTTGCCTAAGTCTTACTAGCTGCCGGGCTAGAGTTTTAGTTGCTGCCTGCACATTATATATGGGGAGAAGAAGGGTATAAATCAAAAATGGGAAGACCCGTGAATGTGACCAAATTACGATACTAAAATTACCTCATTTCCGGTTTTAGCAGTCTTTTTTATTTCAGCAACAAGTTTCTTTTCCTGCCATTAGGATAAATCATATTAGAGCTAACCATAAAAATCCTCAAAGAAGATGATTAGTATTCACTAGTTGGTAATTCGACAAACCTCCAACTGTAGAGTTCCTATTTCCTTCTCTATACCTGAACCAAGGCAAGATATATATCGAGTTTTCAGATCAAAGTAATGCTCCAACTCCAAAATAAACTCTAAAACTAATGCAAGCATAATACCAACGAACTGCAACAGTCCACACTTGAACAAAAAAAATAAAATCTCTAAATCAACTGATACAGAATTATAATCATAATTGTTTTTTTTAAATAATAATAAATTACCTCTAGTAGCATGCGCCATTTCTCTCTTACTCTCGCGAAGAGCCTCTGCAAACACAGGAAAAAAAATATAATTAAAACAAATTAATTGTGAAAACATGATCATGAGGCTTTGACAAGTCAACGCGAATTATAACCGAAGAGGGAAGAATTTGCTTCAAAAATCGATTGCTGTGAAGTGAAAAAAAATTCAATTAAAGCAGATTTCCAGAAATAAAGAAAAAAAAAGTTCCATAAAAAAGTGGGAGATTAAAGGATCAGACAAAAGGGAATTGGTTGATTGAATGATTAGGGCTCCAAAAAAAAACAGAATTAAAATTACCTTTGGGATTGGGCTTTTTGCTGAAGATGTTCATTATCCTTTTGCTGTGTTGATGCTTTCAGATATCTTAACAGCAATGGGTTCCAAAGTTTGAAAGAAGAAGAAAAAACAGAGACTTTTGGGTGAAGAAGTCACCTCTAATCTTGCAGGGTAAATGAATTGTGAATTAAATATAGGGTACGTGTTTAGTTATAAATCATCAGTTTTATTCCGTTTAAATACTTTAACTTTCATTTTTTTCAAAATCATATTTAATATTTATTTTTATTTCATTTTAATACATTTCGATAAAAACTTAGCGGTACAACTGACACGAGAAATTTTAACTATATTTTAATTTTTAAATAATTATTTATATTATTATTTAATTAATTTTATTCAACTAATCAAACTAAACTAACCAAACTAAAATCATAACTAAACCAGACACAACCAACAACCGAAAGCAAAATAGAGAAGAGAGAAAGAAGACTTATCTTCATGACATTTGTGACAGTTAATAATAACTCGAAAACGAAAATGGTGAAGAGTTAAAGAACAAAAGGAAAAGAAAATAAAACAAAAGGGTGAAGAGTTTTACCTTTGGGTTCCCAACAGTGATAGCTCTGGTGGTCATATGGCCAATTCAAATGGTGAACCATGAGAAAATGACGAAATGACAAACATAGTCTAATGCCAGGCCCATCGGACGGTGGACAGCGGAAATCAGAGAATGAAGAAATCAAAGAGCCAATCATCAATTTGGGGGTCGAAAAAGGTGCGGGTTGAAAAGTTTAAGCTTCATCAGCCAATAGATGCAACAGTTGGCAATGGACGACACGACAACCAATAAAAAGTGGCGACTATAAACTCGACAATCGATGGAGCTTCTCATCGATTTATGGGTAAGATTAAGTAGAGAGAGGCGAAATTTTTTTTTTAATAATAGAGATGGGAGTTTCTAATAAGATGATGACACATGTCACCACCATATTAATTGAATAAAATTAATTAAATAATAATGTAAATAATGATTTAAAAAAATGTAAAAAATTAAAAAATAATTGAAAATTGCTACATTAGTTGTGTCGTTAAGTTTTTATTGACAGGGTAAACAAAAAGTAAACATTATGTATGATTTTTAAGAAAATAAAAGTTCTGATACTAAAACGAAACAAAATTGATAATTTAGGTACTAAACATGGGGTAAACTACACGTTTAGTACCCAAACTATTACTTTTATTCTGTTTTGATACCCAAATTTTATTTTTTTTCAAAATCATACTTAATGTTTAGTTTATGTTTCATTTTGGTACCCCATCGTTAAAAACTTAACGATAATGTTGTCGAGCCACCCTAAGATAATGTCGTATCATCATTGAAAAATTAAGAAAAATATCACGTCAGCATTTATGTTAATTTTTTAACGGCAATGTATCAAATTGAAACCTAAACTAAATGTTAGGTATGATTTAAAAAAAATAAAGTTTAGATACCAAAATGAAATAAAATTAATCATTTAAGCACTAAAAATGTAGTTTATCCTATATTTAATTAGTGGACCTATTTGCAGACAGGGGCTTCATTTCCATGAAAATACAATGAAATCTCTTGGAATTTTAAAGTTTTAGGACAAGTAGCTTTTAAAGTAATCAAATCTATCCAATTAATACTATAAGAATTTAAATTATTGATTTTATCTATAAAACTTAACGTTTACTCTTGTTAGATAAAATATATCGAGAATATAGTTCAATTTTAAAGTTTACAAGCGTATTACTCACATTATTTTTTAAAAAATAAATTAAAGCGCCTCTATATGCTTTATGAAATACAATTAATGTTTTAAATATTATATTTATATTAATATATATTAAACATCATACTCTTTTCTTTTACCCATTAAAGTTTAAGGTTTGAACAACTGCATGTACGTAGAGTATGTGTACATTATAAAAATTCTAAAAATTATTAATATACATTAAATATTATACTCTTTTCTTTTATCTATTAAAGTCTAATATTCGAGCAGCGACATGTACGTAAAGTATGTATAGATTATCGAAAGTATAAAAAAATTATAAATATATATTATATTATAATCATCTTATACAGATTCGGAAGCATCAGTTTTTGCTTACAAGCTGCGACAGTGAAAGAGTCAACCCAATCAGGAGTCCTCGTCATGAAATTAGGAGCAGAGACAGCGCTTAATTCTTGTGTAGAACCTTACCAATACGCAATTCTACCCTTTGAAATGATATCTTCCCATGACCACAAACTATGATGTAATAATTGAAACTTCAAAGATTATATTGTTGAGAACGTAATTATAAATTATGAAAAGATTAACTTTATATATATACCATCAAACAAACATAGAAAATACATTTGCCAAAAATGAGTCTTGCAAAAGTTGGTGATGAAGAAAGTTGAAAAAACAGAAAGCACGAAACGAAGCATTCAAAACTACCAATATTTTTGTATGGATTGGTGATTGTGTTTTGGAACTAATAATGACGGAATGTCCTTTTAACGTAGACGATGATGAAAAAAAGAGGGCAAAATGCAGATGGGTTTCCCAACAGATATAATTGCATGTGGATGTATCATCTGTAAATTCTTCACCCTCCTGGGTAAACTCAGCTACCCATACAATCACAAAAATAAAGCACCAAGTGGAAGAAAACATTTTGAAGTTTATTCTGGGTTTTATTTGTTTGCATATGAATGAGTTTAAAGCACCACCAGGATTTCCATTGTTATAGACTTGACTTAGGCCTGAATCTACATCAAACAATCATGGTAAAGAAAGAAAGACCATTGTTGGATAAGTGAATTGATTGTTTTGTCTCTGTTTTTGTTCTTGGTTTTATACGTAGATGATAATGAATGAATTGTTCACGTCCACATCAACTGCAATGCAACTCCAGCTGTTTTGGCCGTGTGCAACCGTAACGTTTTTATCCATTTTATTGTAACCTTCATGGAACCCTGATTCATGATTAATGCTCTAAAACTGCAGCTTTTTGCTCGAGAGTTGCATCAACTCATGAATCAAATGGCTCCTCTGCCTTATGTCTTTAATAGCATCAGCTAGAATCTAGTTAGCTTAACTAGCCAATCCTAGCCCAAAACATTGCAGGAAAAACGAGAAAATAGTTTTCTTTTCTTCTGCAAAAATTCAATAAGATGTCTACTTGTCATTGATTCATTCGTTAAAGCAGAAAAGGAAACAAAGGTAATTACATGATTGTACCCACTGAAATTCTAGTGAACTGCCAAAAATTTCCATTCATTCAAGCAACCTGTTTCTGTAATATCTATTAGTATTCTTTTTTCCCATGCATTTTGATGACAATCAATCAAACAAAAACTATGAAAAGAGCCCAAAATAGAAATAAAACAAGAAAAGAAGATGATAACATCCTAGAATGAGAAGTCCCAATGAAGATGACAGGCTTGGAAATGTCTGGATTGCAGCATTTCTTCAATTCCCCAAAGTTTTTCCCATGGCTCCATTTCTCATCAACACACAGTTCTGGATTGCCATTTAACCTTAACTTTTCACCAACTTTAGCAGTGAAATTAGCAGAAAAAGGAACTCTTCCGCTAAGATTGTTGTTTTCCAGATTGATTTCATTCACAAACTCCAGAAACCCGAACTCCTTGGGCACTTTCCCTTGAAGCTTGTTGTTGTCAAGGCTCAGATAACACATGTTTCTCAAGTGCACCCCCATGGAAGCTGGAATTTCACCTACCAATCCCACGTTGGAAAATCCTATTCCTACAATACCCCCTAGGTTCACCCATATTTCCGGTATCTCCCCTCCTAATAAATTCCCACTCAAATGCACCTCCTTCAATCCGGGCATTTCGGCAAGAAACGGAGGAACCCCAAAGTTACCAAAACGGTTATAACTCAAATCCAAAAACTCAAGAGCTTTTAAGTTACTCAAGCTCTCTGGGATTTTACCAGAAAACCCATTAGAACTCAAGTCCAGCTTCAAAAGCTCAGGGAGATTACCAACCGTACAAGGTACATTTCCATTGAATCCATTGCCGCTCAAGTCGAGAACTTTCAGCTTCTTTAACTTCGATAGACTAACAGAAACGTTGCCACTGAGCTTGTTTCTCGACAGTTTAATCTCTTCAGCGTTAACCAAATCACCAATTGCATCTGGGATGCTCCCATAAATTCCATTTCCAGTCAAAACCAACCTCTTCAAGCTTGTGAAATTTCGGATGATGCCACTGATAGGACCAACAAAAGCAGGGTTATTTATAAAGACAAGCTCTTCAAGAGAGGAACCAAAAGTAGTGGGGATCTCGGGGATAAAAACTTGAGTTTTGGTGAAGCACTGGTAGAAGAAAAGCTTGCGCAGATGTTTGAAGGAAGTGACAAGGAGAGGGCTGAAAGTGGAATCGGGATAGCAAGGAGGGTTTGGTGTAAAATCAGAAACGTACCCGAAACTCAGTTCCGTGATATGAACGGTAACGTTTTTCGTTGTGGGGTCGGTGAAATAATCACAAACAACGCCGTGAGGAGGGTAAGAGCAGAGGTCATCGGGAAAAAGAGTATGCCAAGGGATGGCTGAGTTGATGGAGGAGAGAACTCGATAAACCAAGTCCTGCTCAGCCGAGTTGAGGACAGGTTGCTCCTGCTGCAATGAAATGGTAACCAGAGTGGACACAAGACTGAAGAAAAGAAGGCGCTTGAGAAGAACAGCCATCATTCTTGAGGGTGAAAAGATGAAAGAGAGCAAAGCAAAAGAAGAAGAAGATTTCCTATTGATTTGCTGGCGCCTTGCCATTGCATATATTTGTGAAGTTCTTGGACTGTAGTGTGTAGACTGGCTCTGCCAATTACCCAGACAACCTAGCTCTGCCCCCTCTGAGCCTCTGACCAACCTAACTTCAAAAATTTTCTTTTACCTTTTGTAAACTTTATGCTCAAGTAAACAAAAAGCAAAAGAAAACAAATAACAAAGACAGATAAATCATTGATCGAAATGTATAAAAAAAGCTCCCCCCTTTTTTTCTCTTTGGACACAAAGGAGTTCGGTTATACATATGTTTTCAAGGGTACCATCCATGAACTATCAATGTTTTCCAGGCCATCAGCGTTGGTAACAGTGAAAATAAAAAAACGTTAGCCGACAGGATAACCTGCGGAACGAAGGTAAAAGCCAATTGGTGAAGCGCCGCAGCAGCCGACTTAGTGTCTCAGAAAATGCACTATGAAAGCGACATTTAACTGACGAGGCATGCCTGCTACTACGTGTCGAGATGGTAGTGGTTTGAGACATGGAATCGTGTCTTCTGTACGGAAGGGGATTCGTTTTCCGGAAATGATAGTCCATGTCGACTCCCCATTTTCCTTACTTCTCATTGTTACGGTTTAAAATGCGTTTAGTACACGTAATATAATATTATTAGTAAGAATAAAAGATTATTAGAGAATATAATTATTAAGAATATTGTATTTTGTATTTTGTTCACGGAATATAAGATTATCAGTAAGAATAAAAGATTATTAGAGAATAGAATTACTAAGAATATTGTATTTTATATTTTGTTAGTTTAGTAGGAATATAAGATTATTGTGTTTGATTAAAGGAATAAAAGATTATTGGAATATATATTTTACCTAATTATCCTTATTATAGATTTATTTTTTTAACAATTTGAATTCTACTATAATATTACTATAATTAATTTATATATTTTCTTTAAAAAATTTAAATTCATAAAATTTATATATATATATATTTACAAATTGAAAAGATAAACATGTTTAATGAAAGGGTAAAATTTTATTTTAATTCCTAAACTTCATATAAAATTATAATTATAGATTTTTTTTTTGTAAATCTAAAATAGTTTAAGGATAAATTTGTAATTTAACTTTGATAGAATTTTTATTATTCAACGACAGAAGAAGGATAATTTTGTAAAAAAAAATTAAGGGCATTTTAGTCCAAAACGCCGGTAATCTAACAATACCTAAGAAAATGGGTAATCACATTCTCGGTAATAAATCTCAAAAAATCCACTGTTGATAATAAAATATTACTGAGAATAAGTTACCGATCAACCAAACAAGGGAATGAAGATTTTATTCCTCTGATAATGTTGTATACCTTAAACCAAACGACCCTTAGGGTTTTTCTCATAGTTGTGGGAAAAAGTAGACTTTGCTATTTGCTCTTTTATTTTTCTTTTTCACTGGTTGACGAACCAAACCTACAGAGACCGGAAAGTGCAAATTAATTTTTACTGTTTCTCTTTTTCACCTCACTAGGTAAGTAAACTAGGTCCACAGTAATTTTGTAAAAGTTATTTCCCCCATTTTTATACGTGTTTTTCTAATTATAATCACAACACTTTCAAAATAAAACATAGATAATTAAAATTATAACACTTTCAAAATAAAACTACGTAAGTAAACTTAGAAGAATGCTCAAGTTTCATTTTCAGTCCTTAAAGTTTTTTCAATGAGATATTAATCATAGGATTTTTTTTAAATAAAAGCAGCTAGTATTATTAAAGAGTGAATATCCAAGATTACAATAAGAGTTTATAACTATTATCGTAAACTAAATACATAATTTGTATATTTTCCTAACATTAAAACTAGACACTTTAGATCATAGAATAACCTACATAGAAAAGGTTTAAAACCCAACCAAAATACTCGAACAAAAAATAGATACAAGCAAATTTAACTGAATAGGCAAACGAACCACAAGAGGGGATTAAACTATTGAAAGACCAATGAAAATCGCAAATTAGATCTGAGCGTCGTGAGAAACTATCCACGACCGCAAAATCACGTATCCAAATTCAACACGAGGGTCCATAGCAGGGAAGATCAACTAGATTCCAAATAAGCGTCATCTTGATCAGTCGTGACGTCGTCAAATCTAACCTTGAGAAAACATAAAATAAAAGAACGGCCAAACAACTGAAAAATGTGTCACAAAAACATAGATAAACATTCTACGAATGTATAATTATTCTTATAAAAAACTAAAAAAGAAACAAAAAGAGAAGAGAACCAGTAATCAACAACTAGCATCAAAACAAATGTCGTCACCGACTAAACAAAATCAAAGAAGAAAAGTTGATTTGATTTATAGAAAATGGTATAAACTCAAAAAAAAAAGGAAGGGAGAATTGCTAGGGTTTCCTCTTTAACCATATGTGTTAATGTCATTTCAAAATAAAACATAAATAACTTTTTATAAATATTTCTACTCATGCGTAAATAAATAAAACAATTTCATATATTTTGGAAATAATAAACAACTATTGAAAATATTTTGATGTTTCAATATAACAAATAAAATGTTAATGAATTTTAAGATTTTATATACAATTTAAATATAATATTCGATTCAATTAATCGAATATCACAAATATTACTCCAAGCTTTCAAATATCAATTTTTACTCCTTACTAGATGGAAAATTGAGATTTATACTTAAAGTATTTTTGAAATAAGTTTTAAAAGTATTTTGAACCATAATCGAGTCAAAATTGAGTTTTTAATAGGGAAATACTGATACCTCTTTAACGAGTATCGATACCCTTAAACATCGAATGCAAAAGAGGTATCGATACCCTGTAGGGTATCGATACCCCTTTATATAGTAGTACCGATACCTAGCCAAGAGGTACTGATACCCCTCATTTTGATTTTGACTCCGAGAAATAACAGAATGCAAAATGGGTATCAAAACCACGACCGGTATCGATACCTCTTTACATAGAAGTATCGATACACCCTTGAGAGATATCGATACCTCTGAGTTTGCAACGATCGAAATATTTGAATTTTATAAAGGTAGTATCGATACCCCTATGAAGGAGTACCGGTACCCATATGCTCCCAACAACTTTTTGAAGTGGAAAACATACAACAACGACTCTATTGACTTCATGATCATCCCCAACGTTCAGAATTCATTCAAAGGGTATTTAAACAAGTCTTGAAGCCATTGATGAATAACAAGAAACAAGTTTTGAGAAAGAATTCAAAGAGATAAAGCCTTAAACTTAAACTTATTGTTTGAGCAATTCAAGCCAAAATCCTTTCAATATTCATTTTGCTTTCAATAACACCATTTGTGCTCAATTGTATTCATTCTTGAGTGTTCTTTCTTTGTTCTAGAATTGTGCAAACATCTTACCTTGTGAGGTTTTCCTGTAAGTTTGCAAAGTTTGTAATTTTCACTTTGAGAAGAGAGTGTTTCAAGAATTTGGGGTATAATTCTTGAGGGAATTGTAAGGTTACTCTTTGTCCTCAAAAGAAAGACAAATTAGTGAATTTGTGGAAAATCCTTAGTGTGGATAGCTAAGGTAGTGGACGTAGAGTTTGGTTGAGAAAGTCGAACCACTCTAAATCGGTGTGCAAATCTTTTCTATTTTCTGACAAAGCTTCCACCAAAATTTTAATTATCAATTCACCCCCTCTTAGCTATTTCATCATATCGATTAACTCAACAACTATTCAAAGAGGGAAATAATAAACATGTATGTACTAATGTAATCATGTTTTCTTACATAAAAATCTTTATTTGCGATGATGATTCTTACAACCATCATTCTAATCTTATGGTAGGAAAATCCATAGAATAACACGCAAGAGTATGAAATTATCTTCAATTAATATGTGAATCTTTTCTTAGGATTTTGCACACATTAATAATCGCTTCCTTTTGACCATCAATAGAAGCTAGTAAAACGTAGAGAGTCAATGATAAAATTAATCTTAAATGTATAACTATTAAGACAACTATCATAACATTCTCTTAAATACTCGGATCAACCTCATATATGTAATCATTTCCTTTTATTTAAAGAATTCTATGATTGTCAACGATCTCTAGATTAGGTGGTTAAAAGCTTTCAGTCGACATCTTTCATCTCCTTTAAACCGTGAGTTTAATAATCATTAGAAGCATAATTCTCCTTCCGCCTCCCCTAAATAGAAATCGTTCGACAACTAAAAAACGAATTCTATGATTAACAGGCCTTAATAATGGTGTTTGACTTATGGGCCTTATTAGTAGTGTTTGATTAATGGGCCTTAGTAGTATCACTTGATTTATGGGCTTTAGTAGTAATACTTATTGATGGGCCTCAATTATAATGTGTATGTTAATGGAAATGTTTGCTTAACGTGTCTTTAGTGACAATGCTTGTTGATAGGTCTTAGTGACAATATGATAAAGACTACTCTAATAACAGTACTTATTAGGATTACATCGCCTTAGTGTAGCGGGTACTACCCCAAAATTATTCACCTTAATGGCGTTCGGATATTATTCGCCTTAGTGAAACAGCAACAAAGTGTACTACTAACCTTTTAAAACCAACCTAAAATGAATTACAAATTTAAAGCAATTATCTATATCTTTTATAATTAGTGAAAAATATATGGTTTAAACTTTAGATAAGAAAAATATGAATATCATTTAATTATTAGAAAAGCGAGACTGTTAGTGTGTATATATATTTTTAATAGAGAAAATCGCCTCAGTGACCAAAAAAAAGTTATAATATACGATTTTAACCAACTTTTTTTGGATTTGCCAAAATGACCAACAAAATCGCAACGCGAAATAAAAATCGCAACGCGATCCCCAGAATCGCAAATCAGTTTCCAAAATCGCAACGCGATTCTTGAAAATCGCAATGCGATAGTACAAATTCGCATTGCGATTTTCCAAAATCGCAACGCGAATATTAAAATCGCAACGCGAACACATAAATCGCAACGCGTATCCGTAAATCGCAACG